CCATTATGGTTACCGCCAAAAAAAAAAACCGGAGGTAAAAAAATAAAAACGGTGACCTGGTTGCCGAGCTCACGAAGTGAATTGGCTTGTTTGACAACGTCGTTGCCAAGCGACGAAAACCCAACCCCGATGGCAAACACCGGGAGGGGCGGCTTGTTTTACAACGTCGTTGCCAAGCGACGAAAACCCAACCCCGATGGTAAACACCGGAGGGGGCGGTGGCAATATCACTCGTTGCGAAGCTTCGCAGGGTGCCGATGGTACTGCCGCGTTCTGCACTCTGCAAGTCCATGCCTGCTTTGTTGTTTGTTTTCCTCCTCTCGTTGTCCACACGCGTGTAAAGAAACAACACTTCTCGCGGCAAGGTCGCGGTGGTCTAAGGTTCTCTACCTCAAACATGTGATAACGACGCCAGAATGAAAAATAATTAGTACAAGTGGGGAGCAGCCACTTTGCGCATCCCCGTAACATGTGGCGACACCACAATAATGAGTTCTATCGGTGCACGTGGGGAGCAGTCACTCGCGCATCCTTTAACACGTGGCAACACAGTTAGAGCATTCGCGACTCGACAAAGTAACTGTGGTTGAAAGGTAGTGTTCGGAACTGTGGGGAGCAGCCACTCGAGCGTCCCTGAAGCATGTGATAACGGCGTAAGAATTAAGCATACAGCGTGGGAATGAAGCATATACAGTACATGTGGGGAGCAGCCCCTCGCGCATCCCCCATACAACATGCGGCAATACGAAAGAAGAGCTGTCTTTGGTACAAACGGGGAGCAGCGCGTCCCTCAAACATGTGAAAACAATGAAGAAATAATCAAGCATATTCAGTACATGTGGGGAGCAGCAGCCACTCGCGCATCCCCCAAACATGCGGCAACACGAGAAGAGTAAATAGCTGTATTATTATTATTATTATTATTATTATTATTATTATTATTATTATTATTATTATTATTATTATTATTATTATTATTATTATTATTATTATTATTATTATTATTATTATTATTATTATTATTATTATTATTATTATTATTATTATTATTATATATAGCGGTATTTGTTACATAGTCTATGGGGAGCAGCCACTCGCGCGTCCCTCCAACATGTAGCAACACAACGATAAGTAATATTTTGTAATATTGGGGGCACGTGGGGAGCAGCCACTCGTGCATCTCCCAAACATGTGGGAACCCGAGAAGAATAACTGTATTTGGTACATGTAAGGGCAGTCACTCGCGCGTCCGCAGCCATGTGGCAACACACCAAAAATAAACTACACTTTTTTTTTCCTAACACATGATGTATGTATGTACAGCAGTAGCAAGCGGGCGCCCAGTCACGAGCAACGCGGAGTATGTATGAATGTATGGGAACATTCGTTGCATATGGGCAGCAGTCACTCGAGTATCCCTCGGACATCGAGAATACCAGCCTCCGGGCGGTTCTTTCACTGCAGCTGTCCCGCGATCGGCACACCCTACTGGAGCCTAGGACACCTCGCTAGCCGCACGGCGTGCTGCTGTCCGGTGGACATCTCAGACCAGTATCCATCACACTTGGCCTGACATCCGGGCACGCACCTTTTGCTTTTGCTGTGTAGAGACGGCGGGGAATGGACCTGGAGCGCTGGCGGCTTGTCCGGCGCCCACCTCACACACCTCACACGCGCCTGCGTTGTTGGTGCCTTCTCTCGGCCCGCGATGAACGATTTTTCGCCATAATACTGCCGCCGTCTACGTTGGACGGCAACTGCTGTCCTTCCTTCTCTCCGCACGCTCTGTAGCTTTCGTTCGTCACTCAACTTGCTGTACCGCTTTGTGCTTTCTTGTCGACGGAATGGCAGGGTTCTACTTTCATCCCTGGTGACCCCAAATTTTCGGACAATACACAGTTTCGGACTGGGACTCCAAATTTTCCGGTTAAAGAAAACAGATAGATAAGAAACTTCGTGCAGGTGAAAATTTTCAGATTTAACCGGCTTCATGTGATTGGCTGTTGGTCAACAGTCCTCCCACGAACTTCCCCTGTCCGCAGGTGCTGTTGTTTTTCGTGGTGCGCTGCGTGACAGCTAGCTGTGCACCTTGCTTGATGACAAGGGACTCGCACTGCTGCTGCTGTTGAGTGTGCGTCCGTGCGTGCGTGCGTGCGCGTGTCCGTGTCTGCGTCGCTCCCTCAACCCCAGCACACGAAATCGCACCACGCCAGTACGGAGACAGGAAGGGATTACGGTACACTGGCCGACGACAGCCTCTGAACGAAGTGCTATGTCGCGTTTCAAGCGTTCGGGAGAGAGACGGGGGGGGTGGGACCGGGAGGCACATCCGAGCCAAATGCTCTTCTTTCTAGTAGACTAGACACCAGAAACAATACTCTTGCGCGCGGAAGGACACGCCTGCCTTCACCAGGATTCCACTATGTGCTCTTCCTCCTCTCTGCTCTTCTTCTTCTTTGCTGGCGGCGTTGCCACCACCTCTAGGTTCGTGCGCTCTTCCTCCCCTTGCCTCAATCTGACGGGCGTGTTGCTGACCTCAAGCCAGCCGGAAACAAACCCAACTGTCTGACCGTGCAGCCTCCCTGTTGTTGCGTTGATGGCGTGCCAACTCCAAGGCCTTTCGCTGGGCACTGGGCTTCTCTTTGGCCGCGCTGACATGTTCTCAGCAGACTGCCATGTGTGCGTGCGTGCGTGTGATGTGTTATTTGGAAGAAAGTTGCTAAATCGAAAAATCGTGAAAAAATTCCCACAAACCAAGCCTCCCTCGGCTCTGAAAATTTGTAATTTTTTTCCTTGTGGGTTCTATTCTGGCGAGACTGTCAGGAGCGATCCTCAGAACGACGGCTTAACTCAAAATATGTTTCCTTGTTTCGGAAAATTTTTGAGTCCGAAACTACTGTCAAATAAAATATTTTCTCAATCATCGGGAGCGGCTGTTTATTGTTGTTCTTTTCGAATTGCTTCATTGTTCGGTTTCTAAGCTACACGCTGGGGAGAGACACACACGGACCACACATCATCGTCGCTAGCCACGTTGACTTCGAAGCGCGGCGTTGACTCCTACAAACCCGTCTCTCTCCCCGCCAACAATACCAGCCGGGGAACTACGACTGCAAACGTAGGAGTCCCGAAACTGACCAAGGCCCCAAATGGTACACATCATTTTACAACACCCCACTTGAAACCGAATACTCCCGAGCTTAATCCCCCACCGTCGAAAGAAAAGGGACGGGAGGGCGGGATCTTCGATACAATACTGCCGCCGTCTACGTTAGGCGGCCATTGCTGTCCTTCCTTCCCTCCGCACGCACGGTTGCTTCCGTTCGTCACTCAACTTGCTACACCGCTGGGTGCTTTCTTGTCAACGGAATGGCAGGAGGGAGTTCTACTTTCATCCCTGGTGACCCCGTATTTCCGAACAATTAATTAATGAAACTACAATCCGAAACTTTAACCTCGATATACCGCAGTTTATTTTTTTTTTTTTT